GTTGAGTCCCTCAAACGGTCTGCGCGGTCGAAAGGACTTGTGTAGTTCGTTGGGAGTGCGACATGTAGACAAATGCACGCTGTTATTGTACGCACTAGCTACTTTGGGCAACATCTCATCCCAGTTAATCTGATCTGGTCTAATGTACATGCGCAAAACTTGCTGTAGGATTTTGTTCATTTACTCTGTCTGAACGTTAGTCTCTGGATGACGGCCGGACGACATCAACAACTTAGATCCGTATACTCCCATGAGTTCTTGCCAATTCTGGCTAGTGAAGCGACTATCTCTATCGCTAACTATAGACAATGGAATCCCATTCTCACTAACCCAACAGTCAAAAAAACTCTGTATTACTAAGTCGGTACGCGCCTCTGAAGGCAAAGGAACAAAAACTGCGTACTTGCTAAAGCAGTCAACTATGACCATGACTTGGCTCTTGCCATGTCTACTCTTGACCTGGGTATCCATGAAGTCGATGGACACTGAGTCTCCCGGTTGGTCCGGAATGGGCAAGGGGCTGAGAAGACCTAACGGGGCACGCGTAGAAGACTTGTTACTCTGACAGACTTTACAACTGCGAACATACTCTACGCAGTCGTTCTTCATTCCCGGCCAGGTATACGCGCGCATCAGATTGGCTAAGGTCTCTTGCCAACCGAAATGACCCTCTGTGTCGTGGCATTCCCCCAAAATCAAACTACGGATGTCTTCGCTATTGGGAATGCACAGGTAGTCAAATACATTAGTCTTCTCAAAGAGTAGCCCTTCAGTAGTGCGGTAGTTCGGCTCAGTCTCTAGGGCCTCCTTGACTCGCGTGAGGAGCTCACTATAGATAGGGTCCTGCGCGTAGGATTCTCTAACCTTCTGCTGCAGATCCTTTCCTATATCGAGGTAATGTACTATTGCCCCAAAGTAATCTGCTCTCCTACTCAGAGCATCCGCGACTACATTGTACTTCCCTTTAACAGGCTTGAGCTCGAAGTCGTACTGATCTATCTCTGCGGCCCACCTAGTAAGCTTAGGTGTCATCTTCGCCTGCGTCTTTAACCATCGTAATGTTTCATGGTCAGAATAGACTTTGAAGTGCCTCCCAAGCAAGTAGTGCTTCCAGTGGTCTAATACTTGCCTGAGAGCGTAGAGTTCCCTCTCATAGGTAGATGTCGCAACCTTCTCTGAAGGCATCCTAGCGGACATGAACTCTACGGGTCTATAGCCATTGCCATCGTCTTGCTGTAACACTGCGCCTATGCCGTACTGGCTAGCATCCGTAGTAACGACAAAAGGCAAGGACGGATCGGCGACCTTAAGGACTGGGTATTCTATTAATGCCTGCTTTAGCTTCTTCATGGCAGACGTGCAGTCCTTGTCCCACTTCCAGATTGTCTCTTTTCTTAGCAATCTGCGAAGGGGCGTAGCGATGGTGGAGAAGTTCCTCACGAACTTCCTGTAGTAATTTGCTAAGCCTAGGAACGAGCGCAACTCTGTTAGCGTACGTGGCGTGGGCCAATCTCTAATCGCTGCGATCTTGCTATCTTCTGGCTTAACGCCGTCTCCGTCTAAGACGTGGCCTAGATACAAAACTTGGGTCTTCGCCCAATCGCACTTCTTCGCATTGATCTTGAAGTTAGCTTCTCTCAGCTTCTCCAAGACCTGCCTGAGATGACCCTGATGCTCGTCGAGGGTCTTACTAAACACTAGAATGTCATCTAGGTACACTACAACAAATCTATCTAACCATGACCTAAACAAATTGTCCATACAACGCTGGAACGTAGCTGGCGCATTGGTTAGTCCAAAGGGCATCACTATAAACTCATAGTGCCCGTACCTAGTCCGGAAGGCTGTCTTATACTGATCATCAGGATGTACCTCTATCTGATGGTATCCGGACTTTAAGTCTATCTTAGAGAAATACTTGGCCCCCTGCACTCGATCTAAGAGATCGTCTATCCTAGGCAGTGGCTCAGCATTCTTTACTGTAATAGCATTCAGACCCCTATAGTCTATACACATCCTCAGCTCTCCCTCTTTCTTAGGGACAAAGAGAACAGGGGCTCCAAACGGAGACGAACTGGGCCTAATCCAACCCTTTTCGAGGAGCTCGCCCAACTGCTTCCGTAGCTCCTCTAACTCCCGCGGGGACATCCTATATACAGCACCCTTAGGAGTTCTACTGCCAGGCTCTATCTCAATACAGTGCTGGATGGGCCACGGCACCGTGCCTGTCGGCGGCTTAGTTAAATCCTTAAACTCTTCCAGCAATTTGGCAATAGTAGGGTCTACGGGCTTCTCTTTCTTAGGCTCAGTCACTGGCCTAATATAGGCGACAAAGACCTGTTCCTCCAATTTCTCCTTCTTCACCAATCTGGCGAATGCGGGCGCGCTCAGGCAACAATGTGCCAAGGAATTCTCTACGCCTGACACATGGAACAGGCGGGCAGTCTTAGCCTCGCCTGAAGAACTAGGGAGCCTACACTCGTGCTCCTTCAAATGAAGCGTGGCCCCGGCTGCCTCTCCCCAATCCATTCCCAGAACAATGTCGAATGGGAGGCTGTCTTCTACGAGGAGAGTTAGGGAGTGGAGGACCTTCTCGACTTTCCCATCCTTCTCTAGGCGGAAATACGCCTGGACTCCCTCCACATACTCCTCTACCATAGTACGATTGTCTGCGAGGATACTAACTATGGGATCTGCTAGCTTTTGGACTTTAAGCCCCAGCTTCAACTTCTGCAGCGCCTTCCTACTAATATAGCTGCGGGTAGCCCCTGAATCTACTAGGGCCCCTACTCTACCTCTAAAAATCTCTACATCTACCAGAATTAGCTGTCCTTTCTGTTCTTTTTTCATCTTGGCCCAGGCGGGCATCCTCTCCTTCAATTCTTCAGCCACGCCTATGAGGGA